GTCTTCGTGCTGTTGAATGTATCTTCCGCCTTCGTTAGTTAATACCCTCTATATGTAGCTAAGGCTATTGCAAGTAGTGTTGCCCAAAATTGGTATTATACTCTGCTAGACCAAGATCTATACCGCCTAATTATTGCAAGACCAAGACAGATGAAAAAATGTTTTTGTGAATAAAAATTAAGACCAAATAGTCACTAATACGAAAAACATTTAGTTAATATATATGTAAAGAATTGGTAGAATTAATATAGTCTTGTTTTTACTCTTCCAATTTTTCATTTGGGGTTTAGTTAAATATGTTATTTTTAATGAATATAATTAAAATTGGAAAAAAAAATGTTTAAACTCGTTAGTCATGTGAAAAGTCATATGAGGAGACACACCAGACTTTTTTTTATAAATTATTGGTGACATTGTCTAGATTGTCTTTACTCTTGACCTCTCCATAACAAGGTAAGGACATTATCACTATCTTTCTTGGAAATACCTTTGATGCATTGTCAAGCTAATTTTATTAATTTGGTTAGACTTTACTAAGTTTTCGTCAATAAAATATCTAAATGTACCTATTCTGTAATAATTTCCAAGATCTAAAGTTAGATGTTTAATGTAAACAATGACCCAGCAATTGCATCCCAAATGCTTCAATCACATATCATAAATCTAGAAGAATGGTGTCAAAACTGGAGATTTAAAATAAACTCCAATAAATCACACCAAATTACCTTTACCCTTCGTCGTAAACCAACGACTTCCTGTCCTACGGTTTCCTTTAACAATACTCCACTTATCCCTGTTGAGCAAATACGATACCTAGGACTCCACCTGGACAAACGACTAGCTTGGAATCCTCATACTAGACTGAAACGACAAGAAACCGCTCGACGTTTCCGATTACTTCAGCACTTACTAGACAAACGCTCTAAACTTCCCATTAATTACAAAAGACTCATACACTTGACTATAATAAGACCTATTTGGACTTACGCAGTTGAGCTATGGGGCTCCACTAAACCATCGAATTCCTCTCGCATCCAATCCTTACAATCCAAAATCCTTCGTAAAATCCTCAATGCTCCTTACTTTGTCACTAATAAAATTATCCATAAAGATCTTAATGTTCCTTATGTTTCAGATCTGGCCCAATCCAGATACCTATCCTTCCATAATAAACTTCAGAATCATCCCAACCCTCTCGTTTCTAACCTTGCTTCCTCTTCAATTCCTGATAACCCTCCGAGGCGTTTGAAAAGAAGATGGCCCAGTGATCTCCTAATGTAGTCATATCATTAGAGTGCTACCATTGGGTAGTTACTCAGCAAGTGTATTCATGTCATTATATCAGTTATGTCCAAATTTACTTGATGTATTTATGTAATACAGTTGTAAATGTCATAAAGAAATAAAAAAAAAAAAAGATGTTTAATAAAAAGCAATAAGTTAATAGGTGAATGCAAAACTCTTACTAGACTCATGCACATGACCAAGACCAAGATCAAAACTGAGTGTGAAAGACCAGACTCGTCTTAGTCTTGCATTTGGACAACGCTAATTGCAAGTATATAGTTATTTGGGTATTTTTCTTCGGGATTAAAGTTTCGAGGGTATCCTAATAGACTAGTCCTTGATAGAGCCATACAGAAGCTGATGTCTTATATTTTGCTATTTATATATTAACTTTACCTCTAAATGTACTTCACTATTCGATTTTGTACGAGAAATTACATATTGTAAATGCCTCATTAAATTTATTGTAAGAGAATATCTGGATGAAAACACCATCTTCAGAGAATCGAACATTTCGTACCACTGTTTGTCAGACAGTAAAGAATCAGAAGATGGAAGCTATGAGTTGTGAAATAAGCCTATGAATTATAATAGATATGTTTCTAATATTTTTATAGGCAAAATATGCATTAAATGATGGCAACATACTTGTTCTTAAAGATAAGTAAAATAAAAATTAAATATTATTTATTATAAACAAACCGTCTCGTAAGTGTGAAAGTTCATGTGGAATAGCGAAGTCGAGGTGATATTCACAGGTCTTTCAGTGAAGGTCTGTATGACTAATATCGAAGATTGGTTCTTCTCGTTCATAGAGAACCACTCACTATCGTAGGATGCGAGGTGGAGTCTCTCGAACTAGAAGAAAGTTTGGAAACTTTAAACACTGGCTTTATTAATTACGACACTTATTACGAAGTATTTTCTTACGTGGTTGTTGATCATCTGGCCACCCCAGCAGAAGAGGAACACCTCCAAGAAGAGGGAGATGAACTGAGGCAATAGTTCGTTCATGGCTTCTACGAAGTCGTCATACTGTGAAAATATTAAGAAATATATAATTTTTACTAATTATTTTTAGTATTGTTATAATTATATTATATTGTTTTATTATTGTTATTTTTATTTTTTCAATTCTCTGCTTAAAAGACAAGAACTCAACCGACGATACGGCCAACTATACCGACTACTAAGCAGAAAATCTAAACTTTCCATTGAAAACAAGCTACTGATCTACAAGACAATACTGAAACCTATTTGGACTTACGGACTAGAACTGTGGGGATCAGCAAAATTTTCTAACATCAAGCGCATCCAATCTTTCCAGTCTAAAGTCCTTCGAACAATAGTCGATGCTCCTTTCTATGTATCCAACAAAACCCTACATCATGACCTTAACATCCCATTTGTCCTAGACCTTATCCCAGAAAAATTCTCCAAATTTCACCAGAACCTTACTTACCACCCAAATCCTCTTTCACAATCCCTATCAAGCATCTCCCATCCCTATAATCCTCCAAGAAGGTTGAAACGGCAGTGGCCTCGCGACCTTTTGTAGATTGTATAAATTGGAGTTCTGGCAATGGCCAGATTCTTCACTCAAGACATGTGTGTATGTGGCTAAAGTGCTCTCGACCAATCTCCGCTGGCTTTAGTACCAGCGGGTTGGGAGAGTAGCGCAGGGTTCTCCTGGAGTTCCCTCGCCTGATTGTATATAGGTATGCATGTGTTTTTTTTTTTTTTTTTCCTTAGTTTTAATTTTCTTATTTTTTAGGTTATTTTATTTTATTGTCTATTGTATATACTTTTGATTATTATTTTGTTCTATTTATTTTATTTTTTTGTACATATGGTGTGAATGTCATCCTACCTCACTATAACCAATGTCCAACAGACAGGTTGTTATAATACTCAATAAAGAAATTTAAAAAAAATTCTCTGCTTATTTCGGATAAATTCACTGACCCGGACTGAGGTCAAAGGTACAGTTTATTGAATATTCAATTTGAAAAATAAAAAAAAATTGAACAATGATGGCTGTTCCCAGCATCACCGCTTTCTGGATTTCCTGAAGTTCCCAGCTTAATCCAATTACCTTCATTGATTTTAGAGTATCTTCAGGAATCAGGCCATTGCTGGATACGATAATGGGTAGTACTTTTACCAGCTGGTATAACTGTCTTAATTCCTAGCATAGCTCTTGATACTTACGAACTTTTTTACTTAATGTTTAGCTACATTATCATCAACAGGAACTCCAATGATAGCTTTCTTTGTTTCTTTGTCAACGAGCAGTATATCTGGTCTATCGTGAGGAATACTATAGTCTGTTGTCATAGTTTGATCCCAGTATAGCTTGACATTCCCTTTTTCTAATATAGCCTGCGGCTGATATCTATAAAAAGGTTGATGGCCTGTTATTAATTTATATTTTTGTGCCAGAGCCTGATATACGATTTTTGACGCATAATTTTGTCACGCAAGGTATTCTTTACCCAATAATGCCTGACAACCAGAGGTAACATGTTGAATCGATTTATTGTGGCTTCACATAGACGGCATCTGTCATCGACTGCTGCATGTAGAATATACTTCTTGTAGGAGGATGTTGCCATTACCTGTTCTTGTATTGCCAGAAGGAATCCCTTTGTCTCTGGGCTCATTTTCCTGTTGTCAACGAACGGACTGAGGCTTCTAAATTTATGCCAGGTGTTTTTAGAGAATTTTAAAATCTTCCATGAAGTGATTTACACTTCCATGATTCTATGAGGCTCTCTTCGGTTCATTCCGAAACATATCCAGTGCTGTATAGTTATAGTCAAGGGCAGCAACAGTCGACAGCACTGTCGAAGTTCTATTCATGAAGTAGGTTCTAAGCCTGGCTTCTTGTTCACGGCAGGGCTTCACTATACTAATAAGTCCTCTAAATCCATGTTTCTAGGCAAATATAGTCTTGGTACTGAAGAATTTGGGTGACGTTGCCGTGATTTTATCATTTTCGTTCTTAATAAGCGGTCCATCTTATTTATTATTATTATGTTATTATTAATATTATATATAATTATTGTCTTGCCTGTGATATAGTGAACAGCGTAAGGCTTGCGTCAGAGAAGGAATAAATGAGTTGTATCAAGAATATCCTGTCATACAGTTCTTGCACCTGCATGGTCATCCTGGAAGAAGTGATTCAATAAAGTGAAATAGTATTACTTCAAGGAATCAAATCTAATTAATAATAAATAATGAATAAAAATAAATTAAATTAAATAAAGTGAAATCTATTGTAGTAAACTATTCTTTTTAAAAAAGAAATAAACGTTTAAAGGATAATTTTGCTGACACTGGCATTAAAAATCAAATAAAATAATAATTTTGAAAACAATATGAAAACTTCGTAAAAGAAAACTAGTTTTAAATATTTTTGTTTTCAAAATAAAATTGTAGCGTGTGGATTGTTATAAAAAAGAAAAAATGAACGCATCATACAACTTTCATTTACCATCCTATTTTGGGTAGACATTGATTTGTGAATAGTATAATTGATATATAATTCAGCTGGTAAATGTTTAATAATTTAAACCTATTACCAGATGCAAAGTTATTACCATGATTTTTTAAGGGACTGTTCAGTTTTTTTTAATTTATTCTTTTATTTTAAATTATAATAATATCAGATATTTTCAGACTAGTTCTTAGTACGATAAAATGCATAGTTACTTCAGTAACAGATTGTGCTCTTCAACACATTTCTTTATGACTTCCCCATCATCAGCATCCTCCGGTACCGGGAGACCCTCCACAGGCCTGATTCCTTTGCCGATAGAGGACACTGTTTCAGCCAACAGCAAGAGCCTATGACAGATCTGGTTGGTGAGTGTGAGGAAGAGAGTGTCCCCGATGACATTGGCAGACAGCGCGACTATCGCACTGTCGAGGTTGAAGGCATAGTCCCGGATGATCTCCCCCTTGGTTCCACTGGTCTTGGAGGCCGTCCAGTAGGGGCTGGACCGGTGGATTTCTGGGTCTATGGCGATGTGCATGTTGTGCGTGATCACAATGGCGGCTACGGATACTTCGTAGATGAGCGTCACCTTTGCCACGAGTCGACCTGCAAAGTAGAAGATCGCTGGAGTGAAAAATAGTTACTTTTTATAAGTTCAGTATTTGATCCACGATTAATCTGAGGGTAACAGAAGAAAAATATAAATTTTTGATTAAGTCTTAATCACTATTTTTCTTGGCAGTGCCTTTAATGTACCGTCAAGATAAAAGATAATTTTATTAATTTGGTTGGACTTTACTATATTTATGTCAATCAAAGATATAAATATAACTATTCTGTAGCGTTTTTCTAAGATCTAAAGTAATATGTTCTATTAATAGCAATAAGCTAATAGGTAACTGCAAGATTCATATTGGTCTTGCATTTGGGCAACACTAGCTGGAAGACACTTTGTGATAAAAAAATAAATAAATAAAAATATTATCTTTTTTAACGAGGTTATTCAAACAAACTTTTCAGTAGAAGTAACGATATCACAATTTTGCAGCGATTTAATTTCAAATTGAAGAGTAGCAATGCCATCGTGTGGTGGATGTTATCTCCTCTGCATTGGATTGCGGAATGTACTGCACGGGAGTTTTCCTCGATGTAGAACAGGCTTTTGATCGATTCTGGCATCCGGGACTGCTTTACAAACTCCGTAAATTCCTACACCCTACATACTTCCTCATTATCCGTTCCTATCTAACTGATAGATCCTTCAAAATAAATCATAATAATGCCTATTCATTTCTTTTATCCCAGTCCGCTGGTGTTCCTCAAGGTAGTATCCTATGTCCTATCCTTTACACAGTTTATACAGCTGACATACCAACCCATCCTAACACTGTCATTACCACGTATGTCGATGATAAATGTGTCTTATCAGTTAATAACGACCCAACAATTGCATCCCAAACCCTTCAATCACTCATCACAAACCTTGAAGAATGGTGTCAAAACTGGAGGATAAAAATAAATTCCAATAAATCCCATCAAATCACTTACAACAACAAATCAATTACTACCCTTCGTAGTAAACCTATGTCCTCTTGTCCTACAGTATCCTTTAATAATACCCCACTTATCCCTGTTGAACAAATTCGATACCTTGGACTCAACTTCGACAAACGCCTAACTTGGAATCCTCATACCAGACTGAAACGACAAGAAACAGCTCGACGTTTTCGACTACTCCAGCACTTACTAGACAAACGCTCTAAGCTCCCAGTTAATTACAAAAGACTCATATACATGAGTACAATAAGACATATTTGGACTTACGGAGTTGCGCTCTGAGCCTCCACTAAGCCATCGAATTCCTCTCGTATCCAATCCTTGCAATCCAAAATCCTTCGTAAAATCCTCAACGCTCCTTACTTTGTCACAGACAAAATCATCCATAACGACCTTAATGTTCCGTATGTTTCTGACCTGGCCCAATCCAGATACCGATACCCTCTCGTTTCTAACCATGCTTCCTCATCGGTCCCTGACAACCTCCAAGGCGTCTGAAAAGAAGATGGCCTCGAGATCTTCTTTTGTAAATACATTTTTAGAGTGCTACCAGTGCGTAGTTTCTCAACAAGTGACTTCATGTTATTATATTCTTTTGTTCACATTTACTGAATGTATTTTTACTTGTAATAAAGTTGTAAATATCATCAATAAAAAAAAAATTTAAAAAAATTGAAGAGTTAAGTCACACCGTTGGATGTTTACCAGAAATACTTACAATTTTAAATGTTTTAGTCAAATTTTTTTTCAACGTATTCCTAAGATCTAAACTGACATCTTTAATAAATATCAATAAGCTAATAGGTAACTGTATGATTCTTGCGCAAGACAAATCCATGTCTTATTCTTGTATTTAGGCAAAACTGATGTTTGTGCAGCTACACCAAAAATCTCAATAATATTCAGTAAAATAAAGAAATTAATTATAGTAGAGAAAGTTCATCGATATGCGTTCAGTCTGTTTCCCTTAGATGCATCGGATGGATTCATTTTATTTTTTAAGTGCCTGTACAAATATCAATATCAATAATATAATATTTATATTTTATATTTATCACTGATGTTCCAAATAGAATTTTTTTAAGAATAATTTTTTAAGACTAGATTTGATTTCAGGTTCAAAGTTAAATTTGTTTCATTCTGCATTATTCCATTAAAATCTTGAGGAATATATATTTTTAGCATGTTAAAGATATTATAATATTCTTTAAAAGTAGGTACCACGTTCAGTATTCACCGGGAATCCTCCCAGCTCGTCGAAGAGTTCCTTAAGCACATGCCCCTTCATCCTGAAGGTGATCAGCTTGGCCAGAGACCCCAGGACGGACACAGCCGCAGATAACCCGACTATCCTGTCCATGAAAGCGTTCGGAAGGTAGAGGAAGGCTCCTTGGAAGAAGAGGTACCCCCAGGTAGCGATGCAGCATAACTGCACGATAAGGTAGATATCCAGGAGTACGCCTAACCATTCCCACCTCACTCCTCCTGGAGGACGTACTCCGAGAATCGTCATGCAGATCGTGTGCTTTCTGAACGCGTTGAACTTCATCTTCGCAATGGCGTCTTGCTTCTATCCTCGATATTATAAACTGTTTGATCTCGCAGTACAAATTAAAGTTAAAGAGGGTCGTTTTGTTGTGTAAACAACGCCGCCTCTCAGTTTTGGAGCAAATGATGGTCATTACAAAGTATTTTCTTTCATTTTTAGGTAGTTGAAACAACATTGTATCAATATTAAATATCTTCCAATTCATTGAGAAGATTGTTTCAAATGTCAACAATTATTAAGGATTCAAGTATAATTTTCTCCAAGAAAATAGTAATTCTAAATCGTTAACAAAAAAGTGAATATAATTAAATCATTTTTAATCGCTGAAAGTAGTGTTGCCCAAATCGGTCTTGCTCTTGAATTTCGCAATACCAACACTCATAATAAAAAGGAAAAAACATTTTTTGGGAATAAAAATTAAGGCAAACTAGTTATTAACACTAGATGATTTTAGTTAATGTATGTCAAGAATTGGTAGAACCATATTATACTTTTGTATTTAAATCTTCCAATTTTTCATAGGTTTCTTTAATGCTAAATATGAACATATTTAAAGTAAGGTCAGTACAACTCACCATTTTCGTGTTCTAAAAAATATCTATATTAAAAGGTCTAAAAATGTTCTTATGAGAATGAAATCTCTGGAAGAAGCCGTTTTCGGAACTTCAGTTACCCCTCAACATATACGGGCTTGAAATCCAAGAGTTATATTTAGCAGCAAATACTAAAATGCGAAAAAGTTCCGCATTTGCAAATTGCATATTTGATAGTTCGTAATTAAAAAAACAATTCCAGTGCATACTGAATATGTATCTCGTTACTGTTAGTGCAAATGACGTATGCAAAAATTGACTGTTTAACAGGAGAGTATAAAAACTAATTATTTCTTTATGATTTAATAGTATAATTTTATATTTTATTGCCTTCTCCTGTTTTGCTTAGTAGTAGAATACTTATAGCAATTGCAGACCACGTAATTTCAAAAATAGAATAGAATAAAAATTGAAAACTTTTACATACGAAATTTGCATTACCAGTAGTGATATATACTTAATAGGTATGTTTTCACTCGTAAAATCGATAAAACAAAAAATCCATAGGAAAAATTCAACTTCTTGTTTGTTCGGAGTTAGTTAGACCAATACTTTTCTTCAGCCAGAACAAAACTAATTAAGCTTCAATATAAAAATATGGGTGAACTTCATACAACTTCGATATTTAAGGAGGAAATCGAGACCAAGACGAACTGGTTGAATTTCAATTGAAATAAACACAATCACAAATGATACGTTTTTTTTTTGTTTACAAATTCAGAGTAAAAAATACTTTAAATTGACTGAAAATTACTCGAAATCTAAGTAACGGCAGTAATTGCCATGCCAGTTACGTTTGGAATCGACCAAACAATACAGTATCAATTAATGTTTTGAATAAAACCTAAAATTTTATAATCCAATAACAATATTGTAATAACCTGATTCCCATTCCATGTGAGCAGTGCCTTCAACATGAATAATTGGATGAATTAATGATTGGAGGTCCTACTCGACTATTTAGACCAATGCAGTGCGGGTTCGATTCCCACATGGAGATGGTAACTTCTCTATCCTGGGATTCACAGGGAGGTGAGCACTGTGTCACACCATAGTTCCTGGTCCTCCAAGTTGAAGGTTGACTATAGGGCTGCTGATAATTTAATTTTAACATTCATATTTTAGCTCCAATATTGTAGTACTGAACCCCTATTACCCAACTGTCCTCGTTAATTTATCCTAAGAGCTTAATTAATACTTAATGTATTACATGTATTTTGTTATTATTCATTGTAATAAGTCTTTTGACCAGATTTATAGTTAATATATATGAACAATAATGTTATTCTAAAGGGACCTAGTCCCAGAATAAAGATGATTTTTCTATTTCTATTTCATATTTTACTTTAAATAACTTTACTGTGTTTTTTCTTAATTTGTATTTATTGTATATATTTTTTTATTATTATTTTCATTCTGTTTGTTTTGTTTTCCTTACTTATTATATTACTCAATAATCAAACAAAAAAATTGTTTCATTTTTATTTATTACATATAAATTTTTTTTTCAATATTATTATTTTTGTTTTAATTTATTTATATTGTACGTGCTCTTTTTTCATTATATTATTCATTATTGTGCCAGAATGTTATACTGCTCAAAAAAACAGTTTCTAGTACTAAAAAAAAATCATTGACAAAGAATTTGAATTTTTTTAAATTTTATTTTCCTTAAATACAATGAGATTTTAGTTACTGATATCCCGTCTTGACATTTACTACACCCAAATGGTGTCTAAATATAGACGAGTTCCATGATGTTTATTTTCTCTGATTTTGCTGATAAGGTGATGTTTTCACAGCTTTGTTATATAAGATTCTTTTGTTTTATTACAATATAGGTACATACGTTGTATTGTTTCGGAGCGATGTACTATATTTATTTATTTAGTATTTTTATTGTTGATGTGAGGTTTGTTGAGTCGATATTAATGTGATCTTTCTTTTTTTCTGTCCTGATGATGCGTTAATTTATATAAATTAGACTGTCAATTATTCCCTACCATTTGGAAGAAAAAAAATTCAAGGTATATTTTTATGCTCTCAAATTTGTAAAGCGTTCTATGGTATTCATGGTATGATAATAACATGTGCCGAATTAGTTAATATTTGATTTTATCAAGGTACTTCGCAACCACAATTTTACAATAAACGTTTGGAATGTAGACAAACTGTCTAACTTTTAGATGTTATAAAAAAAAAAAAAAAAACTGAATTTCAAGTTATTTTAAATTTATTTGAACATAATTTCAATCATTATTTTTTATTAATGACATCATGATGGCGAATGTTTTGGGGCCCTTTTTTCAGTGTGTATGTAAAAAATAATCAAACCATATTTTTTATTATTTAAATATAGTCATTTCTACATTAAAATACGTATCACTACTGTTAGTGCAAAAGTTCGTAGAGACTAGTGTTGCCCAAAATCGGTCTAGGTCTTGCAAACTGCAAGGCCGTCTAACTGTTGCAAGACCAAGAACAGGACTGGTAAAAAAATCGATTTTTTAAATAAAAATTAAGGTGAAATAGTTACTAATACTCTACAATGTTAGTTACTATACGTTAATAATTGGTATAACCAATATACTTTTGCATTTAACTCCTCTAATTTATCATTCGGGCTTAGGTAAGTTTCTCTTATCTAAAAAATTACAGTAATATCTCTATAGTAATAAGCTAATTAGTAACTGTGAGACTCTTGCGCCAAGACCAAGACCAAGACTGGGTTTGCAAGACCAAGACTCGTTCTGGTCTCGCATTTGGGCAACTCTACAAGAGACCATAAAAAATTATTATTAATTATAGCCTCATCACTTGCATATTGTCTTTATAAATGGGCTAGTCTGGTAATTATTTGGTCTTTATATAGACTCATAGTGGCTTTCTACTAAGTTTGAAAATACATTAATTTTTAAAATACTCGTATATTTTTCTCAAAATCATATCGAAAACCATGATATTTTAGAAAACTGAAGTATTAAATGTCTTATCTTTATGCAAAAAAATTGAGAGTAATTATTTTGACCTTTAATTTTATCAATTAAATCAGCCAAGGAACTGACGATGAATAAAAATGGTCCAAAGACAACTACACGCGTAAAACCTTTCACACTAATGTAGGAACTTGTACGTATCAACAGGTGCTTTTGCCGGCGAGCATGCGCTCTTCGTATTCCTAGTAGCTAAATCGGGAAGCTAACCGTGTCTTTTTTTTTTTTCAGGAGACATATTTAAATTTTGGTTTATTATTTTCAATAACCAACTATTGTGATCGACCAAAAAATTCAAAAACTTAACCCCCTCTCAAAATTTGAGGTTTCACGTTTCAGGATGCGTAGAATTCAAAACGCGAATAAAAATATTTTTGGCCGTCCGCCGTCCGCGCATTTTCTCCGAAACTGCACCGATTTTTTTTAAAAATTTGGATATATAATCAGAAGTCACCCGAGGATGATCCTCCTTCATCGACATTACTATCAGCCTTTTACTTTCAAAATGGTGGCCGAAAAACCTGCGTTGCTATAGACTGTAGATCCTAAACGAATGTATCGATCACAATGAAACTTCCCTAAAGTCATTTTCTTGACGCCCCTTAAATGTATCTATATAATATACTTCAACGAAAAGAAGCTGGAAAATAAGTTACGAGGGATGGTAAAATTTAATTCCGAATAACTCAAAAAGTATACACTTTTTTCTCGATATGGTTTTTCAAAAGTTTACAGAATTTCCTAAAAAAAACAAAAAACAAACGTCAAAATCGGACAATTAGGAGCAAATATATGGTCTCCAGTTTATATTTGGAATGTGTTACTGAATTAATGCTATTTTTCTTTTCGCATATTACTAATGATTAAAAAAAAAAGTTTAGTCCAATAATTGGAATCACCTTTTATTTATTTTTATTTGTACCTAGGAAGGTAATATTACTTTAGATGTATAGTTGTTTGGAAATAATAAACCATTGTGAAATAATTTGCAGCGTTTTATATGGGGATCGAAAAAAAATCTTGTGACGGAAACATATGATTATCGAAATTGAGAAATCAGTGGCTTGTGACATGTTTAGTTAAACAGAGAAATGGTTTAATTAAATGATTATACAGTATTTTTTTTTAAATTCTAGTCATCATATAAATCTCAAATTAATTATTAGCATAGATAACACAATGTGCACACGAGAAAACGGGAAATTCCATTGATCATTCTCTGTTAAAAGCTCAATAAAAAAATAAAAGAAATTTCAGGCAGAAACGTCACATTCTCCATACTTATTAACTATATCTGTTTTGATAAACTATGTTTCGGGACCTCTTTGTTGGGATGGGATATCGGTAGCCAATATCGATATCAGCCTATAACAATCGATGCTATCAAAATATTGGACTTGAAATATCGATAGTCGATATTTTCATAAATATTATAAACATTTTTGAAATATAAACATCATTATAAATATTGATTTTCTAGTACACTATCTAACTGCCCGGCGCTACAGGCCAGCATGACCCTTGGCCTCCTTAGTTGTTTTCCTCCACCTGCTCTCTGTCCTGTGCTATTCTCTTCCAATTGCCAACTCCTGGCTTCTTCGCATGTCTCTCTACTTCATCCTTCCAGCTGCTTCTCGGTCTTCCTCTTTTCCTTTCCCCACTGAAGTGTGCTTCCAATATTTTCCTCTGCACCCGTTCTCCATTCTGACTACATGTCCTGCCCATCTCAGCCTACTTGCCTTGATATAGTTAGTAATGCTTTGATTCTCTAATATAGCCTCGATGTCATTGTTACTTTTGATTTTCCACTCACCATTAACAATTGGAGCACCGTAAATCCTTCTTATTATTTTCCTTTCTAATACTTTTAGTTTACGGCAATCCTCTTGCGATAAACACCAAGTTTCCGCTCCGTAGGTGACTACTGGTCTAATAAGCGTTTTGTATACCTTATTTTTGTTGCTTTTGACAACAATGGAGACTTGAGAAGTTTTAGGTTTCCATAGTAAGCTCTGTTACCAGCCATTATTCTGTTGTCTATTTCTCTGCTGATTAGATTTTCATTATTTAGGGCAGAACCAAGATACACGAATTTGGGTACATTTTCAAACTTATTCTTTATTGTGATTTCATTGCAAGATTTTCTAGCACATAGGCGCATTAATTTCCTGTTTAATTAATGAAAATATCAATTCTTCTACGCTCTTTAGTAAAATTAATTTTCCCAGAAATTCCCATTCAACCAATTATGTCTTTCATTCACCTATCGGATTCAGCGAAATGCTAATTAATTTGCATCCTACATAGATTTATTTCACAGCTCGTGGCTTTACTTTAAGAAGGTTCTAACTAACAAATAGGGTTTACTGAATGAGAAGGGTTCCATGTGCTCTATTCAACTCTACTCTACTAGGAATGGCCAAAGATAGTCAATAATATCGAAATATTTAATATAATTTTCCTCTAGTAATATTTTATATGAAACAGACAAGATAAAAAGATTTTTTTTATCGAACGATCAGATTCATAAATAATTTCATGCTCTTTCCAAAAACGTTGACTAAATTTTTAAATTAAAATATCGAAGGAATGATATCGGTAGTCGATAACATCGAAAAACATACAATCGATGGTAAGTATCGTATATCGGGAGTAAAATGTCGACTATCGATTGTCATCGATCGACACTTTGTCGATTTTCAATAACATTCTATTCCATCAGAAATTATCCTATTTAAAATAATCGTATTCACAATATTACAATATAGATTTCAAGATATGTTTAATGACATTAAAAAAGAGAAATATGTATGATATCTGAGATCAACCTTAATAAAACTATTATTTAAACATAACAATTTCTTATGGGATAAAAATATAATCAAAATGTGACAATTTGTGAAGAATTAGTTTACTTTCAAATAGATTAACGAGGTGAGAATAGTCTATGGGTCACCGATTAAATAATAACCGAATAAATTCACAAATCACATAGGACGAGAAGTAGGTATTGTATATAGTTATATCATTAAAATTCGTATTTAAATATTTTAAAGGTCTCTAAAATTGAATCTAACTTGATTTTTCATTACAAAATTTTACTTGACTTACTTAACTGGAAGCGCTTTTTAGTTTTTGTATGTTTTGATGCATTATAACTCATTTTATATTTTTCTTATCCTGCACAGAAACAAAACTACTAATATATAATACTGTAAAACTCCGAGCAAAGCAAAGACAAATATTAATAAGATAATTTTATTTGAAATTATATTTATTTTTTTCTCGGCTCCTTGGAAAGAACGCTGGGATATGTATCCAATATTTTTGGATATAGTATAGTAACCAAAAAAAATTATGATTGAAATCGAAGACCCACAGACTCTATCCTCTCCATACAAGGGGATTCGTCAAAGTTGTATCATAACCGACAAAATGTCTTGAAAGAACGCTATTATTTATTTAATTACTTTAAGTATTCATTTGCACCCATCGACAAACTTTTGATAACCAGCAGTAAAATATTTATATTATAAACCTTTGAAGGAAATTTACTCAACTTCTTGGACAGAATATCAAGGTAATTATTCGGTTTGGTTAAGGTAAAAATAAATTAGCACGGTTTCTTTTTTAAATATTTTATTTCTATAATTTTCTACAAAGCAATCTTGTTAATTTATTGACTGAAAAGTTGTGACATTATTGTATAATATGTGAAGGCTTCTCTGCAGATCTGAAACAAAATTATTTACATTATATATCCAAGAAATTACTTAGAATTCACATATGAATTTTTTCGTTATTTCTTAAATTACGGTCACTGATTTTGTTACCGTTTCGTAAAGATGAAAGTTGAGATGAAACACAGATACCGCAGTGACTTGGACTGGTTCTGTCGTGAAAGTCTGCATAATCAACACGGAGCTTCGATCTTCCATTCTGGAACTGTTGTACCATCCGCTGTTGTATATTGCAAGCCGTAGTTCTTCGAACTGCAAACATATATATATATAAATAATGGACCGATTTTTAGCATAAAAGTAGAAACTACAAGTTTTTTTGTTGTTTTTTTAAGTAAGTCGTGCTAATTGTTATTATAGGAAGTTAGTCCACTTTTCTACGTATCATGGGTGATAAATATTCAAGACGGTGTTATTATAAAGTTATTATCGGTGCCGACGTTTCAACCCAAACATGTGGGTCATCATCAGGGCGTTTTTCGAGCCAAGTAGACTTGAACACCTTAAGTGCTCAAAACACACCCTGATGATGACCCGAACATGTGGGTTGAAACGTCGGCACTAATAAAAATTTTATAATGACTGCGTCCTGAATATTTATCACCCATGCTAATTGTTGAATAGTAAGCGATTAGTACATAAATATTTTAATTAAAGTAATTAAGGAAAACACGGGTACTTTTAAGGGACTGGATAGAAAGTCATATAATTTCTTTCCACATCTTTAGGTGAATCTCAAGTTTTGGTCTAATAAACCTCTACTTATATGATATGGACTTAAAGCTTATTAAACGGGGAAGTGGTGTATTATATTCTAAAAATGGGGTATCTGTAATATAGTTGGAAAATGATAAATAAAATGCAAATAATTTATAATATTTTTAAAAACAAAATTTAGCTTAGTTCAGTCGCTGAAAGGTCTTCATTAAATGGTTTAATAATGACAAACTCTATTTTCATTTGAAGTAAATTTTGTCTAGTTTACAGCGATGCAATTACTTAATTACTTAAATTTAATATCTATGTAGTTATCGCTTCCTGTTTAAAAAAAAAAAAAAAGAAAAAAAAAAAAAAAACGTGGCTCACTTAGAATAACAAAAAACTTGAATTTCCTACTTTTCTGTTGAAAATTGGTCCATTATTTATATGAACTTTTTTGTAAGATTCTAGGTCTACTATGATTCCTATAAAAAGTTTCCTCCACTTAAGGGACACCCTCTATATATAAAGAAAAAGAGATTAAAAATATACTTATTTATTTTGATTATTAATTTTTGGCTCATTTTTTACTGAATGTTTTAATTAAATTCCGGTTTTTGTCTTCTCTACTCCACTGTTTGTTACGAGGGCACATTCGGTGGTTTACCAATTTCGACCAAATTTTACTTAGACTTATTTTTGACGGTGATTGTACCTCGAAATATATTAGATACATGTCCCTGTGTAGTATGATGGGCTTTAGGATAAACTTGGTTTCATCATAATAAAAATCTGTAAACTAGATTCCGAGCTAACAAACAAACAAAGTTTATATTCGTTTGTCACACTTCAAAAAACATTTAAATATTAATTTATATAGAAATCGAAAAGATAAATTTTTTTCGCACAAAATAATTCCATAAAGTAAACAATAACATATTGTTCAGCGAGGACAAAAAAAAATTGTTTCTAACTAATCGGCCAATTAACTTTTGTGGAAAAGAACAATTTGTCTTTCACTCATAAAATTAATGATAGAAAATTTTCAAATCAATTAAAATTTGATCATTCGTGAGTTTGTACTTAACTAAACTTATAATTTTCTCCGTTTGAATTTTGTTGCTAACATCATACTTCCCGTACCTTGTTATAAGGTTTGTCATAACTTCATGATTAGAGGAAGTTCTGTTTAATTGTAATATATTTAATTAATAAATCGTGTTAACAATCTTTCTATAATTATTATAGATATAGATATAGATATCATATTATATTTATTCCGTCGAGAGGTCAGACACCTCTGGTAGCTCAGTTGGTAGAGCGGTGGACTGTAGTTGGTGAAAGTAACAGAAATCCATAGGTCGCTGGTTCAAATCCGGCCCGGAGGAATTATTTTTTTTTAAATTAAAATTATTTAAAATATACAGGAGTCGTATATTTTAGTTAAATAAAAGCTACACTATATTATTTTTAAATTATAAAAATTTTAATAATCACAATTGTTGACACGTGGAAATAAATAGCAATGTTATATATTATGTAACTAAAGAATTAATTTTTTATCGATTAAAATTAATATTATTCAAATTAATAAATTTAAAAAAAAATACAAATTATAATTTATATTTTTACTAATAATACTCCGATTTTGTTTTTAATTTTTTAAAGAATTTAGAAAACTTTCATATTATTATGACTATAGCCGAGTATAGATTGACAAATAAAGTTTTCTTTTCTTTATACATTTTTTTCTGTTTTTCTGAGGAAATGTGCTTATTTTTCTACGTCTGAAGAAGAAGATAATCTTCAAAATGACGACCAAATAATTGAATTTGTTACTGAATTGACGAAGATATCGTAACAACATTACAAAAAGTCATTAAATGATATTTCATAAATCAATTCTTCTTGTAGTTATATTTAATATATTAAAAGGTCTTACCGTGTTTTTTATCGATAAATATTCGAAATTTACAGATATTTTCATAGAAATTCAGATCTATCAAAAATATACTTATGTTAATGATTTTTTTTTTGCAATAAAAAAACACAGCTTGGAGAAATGTTTTAAAGATAAGTTAAAAATAAATTATTCTTTAATATTGATATTAAATTCTTTATTTAAAACTGTTTTAATTTAATACTAATACTATATTTATACTTTCCATTCTATAATATTTATTTAATATAAGTTGAAATTTAATGAAGTTAAACATTAGTTCTGATTTGTTTTGGCCTTACAGTTAATATTTTTCAGCTGTTTGATTAAATACGTTATCTTTGGTCGATACTAACATAATCTTGAATTATTGAAACGTTGAATTAATACTGTTTAAGGAACTGGTGGTTTTATTTTGAAATCTTTCATTAATAACCATATCATAGCTTTTGATTATATTTTTTGCTTTTGCTTATTTTTTAAAATATTTATTTAATTAATTTTAGTTATACACGTTAACTAAAGAATAACAATTTATTAAAGAGCATATGAATAGAACATGGAAGAATATAAATATTTTTTTTTATTTACTTGGTTTATTTTGTTTGAGTTGTGCCTCATATTATATTTAACTGATCATTAGATTGAAATTTATAAAAATGGTGAAACAATTGTTTTACTTTGAAATATTTTTTGGGATCTTCAAATACAAATCTACCCCTGGCCTCAAATGGTCTAGCTTAGTCAATGATTTTATATGATTACTTATATATTTATTATAATTATATATATGAGTACTTAATATTTACATGATTACTAATCATTTGGCCAGCCCAGCAGTAGAGAAAGATTTCCAGAAATAGAGACACTGTCTGAGGTAATAGCTCTGACATTGCTTCGTATACATTCGCCTCCTAAAAATAAATAAATAATATTACAGATTCATGTGGAATTAATTTTTTTCATAATATATTTTAACATTATTACATATTATGTTTTACCTGAGAAATTACGAAGAGAGTCAGACAAATAGTTGAAAAGGAATAAGCAAGCTGAACAACGATGATGTAGTTATATAACTCCTCCAGTTGATTCTTGTATCTAAATCATATTTTCAATATTTTATAAACAATTTTTATCTTAATGATATTTTTATTATTAATCTATATATTTAATCTTATTGTTTTCTTAAGATAAATGGAATATACACTAAGGAAACTTGTGAAGTTATCAATTTAAATACTCATTTTTAGATCTTCGTAGTCCAAATAACGAAGTCCTGCAAAGTAATCTGTGTGAATCAACTTCAAAAACCAAAAGATTTAAGAGACTGAAATTAAGTATTTAAAAGACAAGAACTGACAAGACGATATAACCAACTGTCTCATTTTCTAGATTACAGATCCTCACTTAACTTACGAAACAAGCTACTAATTTACAACACCATACTGAGAGCAATTTGAACTTACCCAGCAGAACTTTGGGGTTCGGCAAAACGAAAACACATAAACAAAATACAAACAACACAATAAAAAATTCTGCGAAAACTTGGTATATTTCAAATAACACTCTACATAATGACTTGAACATCCCAAAAGTAAAATCCTACATCCACGGCAAATACAGTTCATTTCACTCTTAAATTCTAAATCACTTCGATCCATTAGTCCTTTCTACTTCCTGCTCCCTTTTACCTGATCGACGCAGGTTAAAAAGAAAATGACCGAGAGATTATTTTCGCAATAATTACAAATTAAACACAATAAATACAAAATTAAACTAACATAGAAAACTCACAACCAACCAGTAATATATCAAATTTACTAGGTGCACTGCAGCGCAGGTGCAAATGGCAGAATACGTCAAAAATAAATAGAAAAAATAAATATAGATTTCAATCCCTGGTTACCTTCCTATGAATATACATTCTTTAAATACTTATTATTATTTATTATATATAAATAATAGTAAGTATTTATAGAATGTATATTCATAGAAAGGTAACCAGGGATTGAAATCTATATTTATTTTTTCCACAATACCATGGATTAATTATTAGACTTGATTCTTAATTTATAAAAATCATGCCTGATTTATAAGTACAAATTTCAATCGATCTTTGATGTTTATTTATACGATTAAAAATAATGATCACTCACTGAGTGATACAGTTTTACTTTTTAAACACAAATTAAATTAAATACTTATATATATATATATATATATATATATATATATATATATATATATATATATATATATATTATTAATGTCCCCTATTTTTAATATTATATTTATGAACCCGTTTTAATTTTGCAGGCGGAATCTGCACTATATATATGTATCGGACAGGCTGTGCAATATACTTTTTCGGATTATCAAGATTATTATTACATTTAATATGAAGACAAATTCTAATATGTTTTTGTTCATAACATTAGTAATTATGTTATTTAATTATATAATTGCCATGATAATAGAGAAAGTAGATACTTTAATAGAGTATTGTGCTCCCTGACACACATCTGTATGATCTCCTTGTCAGATTTCAATCCTTCCATGTCCATCACCTCCACCTTCGATTCTCCTTCTTCGCCGATGACGGACACCGTGTTGGAGAGCAGAAGGAGCCTGTGGCAGATCTGGTTGATGATCAAGAGGAACACAGTGTCCCCCATGACGTTGCCTGTGAGGGTGACGAAGACACAGTAGAGGGTGTACCAGTAGTCCAGGGCGACCTCTTCGTAAGGCCCGGTCTGGAACTGACTGTAGTAAGGAGTCGACCGGGTCGGGGTGGAGTTGACGAAGTAGCCGTAGTTGTGGGTCACCAAGATGGCCGCCACGGCGGATTCATAGAGGATGGTAACCTTTTTCACCAACTTTCCTAAAAAAATAATTAAATATAGGTAAGCTTGTGACTAATCAACTATAATATTGAAACCAATATTATAAATATTGCCCTTACATTTTTTTATATTTTGTAATTTGACCTCACACGTTTGGGTCGAAATGTCAGCTTACACAATAAAAATATCTTGACTAAAATTCCTGAAAATTTTGTTTCATCCTTAAAATTAATAATACATCATTAAATTTAGTTATCACCTGGACAAACGACTCTCATACAAGACTGAAACGACAAGAAACTGCTCGACGTTCCCGACTACTCCAACACTTACTAGGCAAACGGTCTAAGCTTTCAATCAATTATAAACGACTCATATATATGACAATAATAAGACCTATTTGGAATTAGGGAATTGAACTTTGGGGCTCCACTAAATCATCGAATTCCTCTCGTATCCAATTCTTACAATCCAAAATCCTTCGTAAAATCCTCAACGCTCCTTACTTTGTCACAAATAAAATCATCCATAAAGACCTTAATGTTCCATATGTTTCCGATTTGGCCCAATCCAGATACATATCCTTCCATAACAAACACCAGAACCATCCGAACCCTCTCGTTTCAAACCTTGCTCCCTGATAACCCTCCAAGGCGTCTGAAAAGAAGATGGCCTCGTGATCTTCTTATGTAAATATATTATTAGAGTGCTACCAATGGGTGGGTAGTTTCTCAACAAGCGTTTTCATGTGATTATATTATTACTGTGTGCACATTTACTCGTTGTATTTTTTTATAATGCAGTTGTAAATATCAATGAATAAAAAAAAAATTAGTTATAAACTATAATAATAGTTTCTCAATTATAAGTCCTTTTTCTATCAAAGGTACTTAAATCTCAAGATAAAGTCGTATAAACCGCTATAATATCACTTTTGATATATCAGTTTGCTTGCGGCATCTTGACATCCGCTCTAACCTTTACCCTGGAGAGGAAAGTTCCTTTCGCAAAAACCGGAATAGTCTGGATCAATTCTTAATTCAAGGAAGAGAATGATTACAGGAACTAGTCGTCAAAATCTGATGATATGAAAATAAGGATGTTAAGATGAGTAATGTAGCACGAACTAATCCATATAGAAGTCTCTATATAACATCAGATTCCATATTTTCATAGAGCACATGGTAGGCAAAAAACAAAATGGATAAATATAATCGTAGAATATGCTGCAAAACTTTGTTACAGTAAAATGGAAAGCAATAGCCCTAGATAGACACAGGTGGAGAAGGTAAGTTCAGGTAACTTTGTAATGAATTACTAAATGCTGTCAGGATTCTCAAGGAGTTATAATTTCTATAAAACACCTTATGCAGCACAAACATTTCTATATTTTCCTATACATATAAAAATATGTAAAATCAGATAACAAAAGACCAGTAAAGTATACACCGTTCATATATAAATATAGATTATTTATATAAATAGCAGCTTAAAAAAAGTGTTAAAATAAGAATAATCATTAGGAAACTATTTTAAAAATTGTCAATCAAGACAAATATTTTAACTTTATTATCAGTATCGTCGTCGTTTTGCTTTTTATAAACGTGGCTGATGTATTGATATTTTTTTTTTAAATTACTCCGCCTATGGATAACTGTTACTTTCACCAACTACAGTCAACCGCTCTACCAACTGAGCTACCAGAGGTTTCTGGCTTTTAATTGAATTAATATGATTACGATATTTGACAAACACAGAATGATCTTAACCGCAGATAAAGCTTTATTCTCTATGCCTTGGGCCCTGGAACCTCAAAAACTTTAGCAAATGAATTAGAAACGATAATAATGATAGAAAATGGTCAGTCCATACCTTATGATGTGAAGGCGAGGAGAGTAAGGTGGCCAGAACACGAATCAATCATTAAGGAAGTCTCTACTGAACGTTGACATGACAATTCATAGTTATTAGGAAGAGAGCACATGACAAGAAAAAAAAAATTGAATAAATATAATCATAAAATATGCCGAAAAACTGAATTCGTCGACAAGAAAAACAGTATTCCAAAATAGGCAGATTTGGAGAAGGCTGGTTTAGGTAAACAAAGATCTACAAGATTGTAAAACCCAAGAAAATATATACATGACCAATTCTGTTGAGACCAATTTTGTGTTTTGTTTGAAGCGGTCACGGTTTTTATTGAATAAGAAGGAATTGCTCAAAAACTGTTCAAACATTTTTGTTGGAAATTTTGTCCATATGTACAATAAAGAAACGAACCATAATAGTATTAAATAATTACCCATTATTTAGCGTAATGATACTTAGAGTTTTTTTCAAGCATGCATATAATGTTTTAATACAAAAATCATCGATTTTAATAAAAAATAATCTGGTGTGTCCACTGACACGACTTTCCTACCTATTTCAAAAAAATTTTATATCTTTACATATGTTCACGAAGAAACAAAAAAGAATTGAACTTGATACATTTTCCTGAAAATTTATCAAACATAAGATTTGAGTACGACTTATTTGATAAACTAAAGCAATGTAAACCGGCTTAAGATAGATCAGTGTAAAAATTTCAATAGTCATTAATATTGCTGATCAAAAACTTTTTGGCATAGCTTAGTATTGTCAAACAATAATTCATGTTAAAGGAATAGGAAACAGTGAAGGTTGTGTTATGCTGGCAACAGATTTTCTTACTCTCACTTAGTCATTTTTATTCTCTCATTCATCCCTTTCTGACACCAGGATATGAAACCTTAATCTTACGTTGGAAATTGAATAGCTGTAACTTCGTTAATAGTTGTCCAAAATTAACGATTTTTATATGGGTTTGTAGGGAATTTTATTAGCTTTCAAAAGTTTTATTATAAATTTTATCCTATAATATATATTTAGGGAGTTATGCTCTAAAACATTTCTCTTTTCTTTATAACTTTTTTTCCTGAATTTTTTGGGGAATTTAGTCTATATACAAAAATTGAAAGTACAATGATTAGAACGTTATAGTAAAGTTTCATCAAAATCATTAGAGCCATTTTTGTGCTACAGTCTATAGAAAAACATGTTTTTCATTTATTGCGCGCAAGCTGTTGCGTATGGAGCACCGAATTTCTGTCACAGCCATCAGTAGTCAAAACCCTACAAAATAAAAAAAGAAACAACAAAATTGGTTCAGTAGTTCCCGAGAAAATCTTGGCACAGACAGACAGAGAGACAGACAGACGAATGGCTAAAAATGTTCAGGAGGCTCTGAAACGTATAGATCCGTCGAAAACCGCATGTCGGAAATTTGACCCGATTGCAATACTTTGCTTACCTAGTATAGGTAGGAAAGTAATAAGTCGAAACATACAATTCATTGTCCATATCGCTACTGTTATTATCAAAAGGTGGTATGTTAAAATTTTACATGTTTATTCTATTTGTACTAAAGCTGACATTAGTCTGCAACTGAAATAAGTAGTCTGCTACTATGGAAAGTAGTAGAGGGAAACAAAATATGAAATTATACTCGTAAATTATTAAGAAATAATCTGTAAAAAATACTCAACCTCTTACATACGACCTTTTGCATTAACAGTAGCGGTATCCTAAGAATCAATAATGACTAAGGCCGTAGGTGGATCATTTTATATTTTTCTTCCAAGTTTGTAAATATTATAGAGATGGGTAAGCTGTTAAAATTATAAGAATGAAACAAGAATTTCACTCAAAAGTTCTTTATTTTGAAATAGAGAATTCTTTATTTTCATTAAGAAGTTTTGACTGAAATTCCTAAAAACGTTGTTTTATCCCTTTGTAAATGTTAAAATAAGAAACACTTTTTAATAATTTAGAAGGTTAAGTTAAAGTTGAAGCTACAGTTTATTTGTTATAGGTTCCGATTTTAGGTCCAGTGTTTAATATTTTTAGTAGTTTATTAATTTTGTTCTAAACCAGTTTGAAATTTTTATTTTGGCTTTGATAGCATCCTCTACTGCCTTCTTACCACGTTCCGTTTTCGCCTCGAAGCCACCCAGCTGCTCGAACAGTTCCTGCAATAGGCCAGTATTCAGTTTGAAGGCGATGAGCTTGGCGATGGTACCAGACACGGATATCCCTGCAGAGAGACCCACCATCCTGATGAGGAAGTGCTCGTGGAGGTAGAGGTAGGCTCCTCTGAAGTAGAGGTAGGACCAGTAACCTTCTGCCACGATCTGGATCCAGAAGTAGACAGTGACCATCGTCTTCAGCACCGGCGAAGAGAGATCCTTAGGAAACGCGACACCAAGAAGGCGCAACGCGATCTTCTCGTTCCTGAAGGCGTCCATTCTGTAATGTGCTGGTGTCGATCTTGCAGCCTTGAATAATAAAAAGAGCAATCAAGTAGTTATACAGCTCAAGTAGATAGTTATGTTAAATAGCCTCTGTTATAAAGAATGTCCATTACAGCTTATTACATGAATAAATGATACTGCAATAGCAGAGAATGGAACGATTATTTAAGTTAGCTGGATTTGTCACTAACGGGCAAAACTGTTATTTAACTTATTAATAAAATAAATTAAAACTATTTTTCTTTCATGAAAACTAAATAACCCGCTTTTTCCAATTTGAATTTCACTATCCCATTAACAGTTTATTACAAATAACGCGAAAATGTATCCATACATTTACTCTTATAACCATAGAAGTAACCGTTAAAACCAATACCACGGAAATAACTGGGACTAGATCATTTAGTAAAAACATGAAACTAGCCATAAAAATAAAATCAACTCAGGGATAAATATAAATGAAATGAAATGACTAGACAGAAAAAAAAATTAAATGAAAAGGAAAGAAAAAAAAAGTGAAAACTGTGAATTAATTCTCAAATTTAAAAATTAATATATTGAAACTATTATTCACTTCTAATCAATATTTTATTCTTACATTAAAAATTTAAGATCGAAGGACCTCTGTTTAGGATGTGAGAAGGTTTATTAACTTTAAATTGAAAATGGTGAATTTCAATGATAGAGAAGAACCATGGTGGATATATTAGAATTCCAGAAGAAGAAAGGAACGTTCAAAGGTTTTTGTTCTGTGGAAAGGGATATAGATAAAGTGAATAGAGTCAGAAACACGGGATCTCGTCTTCTGTGAGGGTTCAAAGAGTTTAAATCGCAAGAGATTATAGAAGCAGAAAGGATGCTGGGTATAGTGATTCGTTATAAGAAATATCTGAGGGAATATTTTCAACGATAAAAGGAGAAAAGCCACTTTAGCACGCAATAAAAGTTGGACAAATGAGACCGCTTCGAGGTACCGAACACAAATCCTAGAGAGTACTGTCAAATTGAACTTTAAATTAATGTTAACCAATCTGAGTGATACACAACAGAACTCTATACATAAAAAAAAATTGATTGCCTAAGTTTCAACCCTATCATGTGGACTATCTTCAGTGCTAAAAAATAGTATCAGTAATATAAAACTAATTTTAGTGTTCATATAATAGAACTATCAAAGCTAGATAATAGATATTTGAATCCAATCAATATATTGTAATGACTAAATGATAATAATCTGTTAAATAATGTAGGGAATAAGATGGGTGAATCTATAAGTGGTGAAAAATTGTTGAAGAATAAATGTAATAGATGTAATTGCTAAACATGAAACACGTTTACGGCTCAGGTGATCTTGAGGGACTCATATCCAGGTAAAATAATAAGGGAAGCTATGGTAGGATTTAAACATATTTTTCTAGATGGTTAAATACCAAGAAACAAAGTTAGGACCGAAAATCAATATCGCTTATAAGATAAAAATATTAATTATAGATTAAAGGCAATAAAAAATAAGATTAGATTAAAGTCTATTATTTTATCGAAGTTTTTTGGGTTAAAATAAGAATTCTTCTGTGAAGACAGCTGAAAATTATTGAATTTATTTGTAGGCATCAATTTTTTAAATTTTGATTTAAATACATATATATTATTACTAATATAGTTGCACATATCATCTCTGTTGTGGATTGCTGTAAAAATCTAATATGTACAGTTTAAATTGAATTTGTTCTTGAAATAACGCTCATATATTCATAATTTTTAAATAAATAAGTAATTTTTATTTTTTCGGGCTGAGCCCTCCCTTCTCCCCAAAATATATTTTTTTTTTTCATTGGTCCATATTTGTTTATATGAGCAATCTATGCCAACCGAATACTTAGACAGTCACTATTTGTTTTCATTTTAAATTATAACGCATATATTTCAGCTACTAAATATAAAGAGATGTCAACAAATAAGTTTATTCCTTAAAGTACTATTCTTCTTGTAATTAATTACTATTATTAAAAAAATAAAATAAAATACAAAATTAGCCCCTTAAAGTTAATCCGCAACGACTTTGTTAAAATATACATGGCATCAGAGGCTCTTTTTGTGTAGTTTTCGGTCAGCTGTTCTTTTAGTGTAGTTTGCGGTCAGCTGATTGCTCGGTGGAATTGCCTTGCTCTCATTATTGTTTAAACTTAAAATTGATTCTATTCATCTTGTTATTAATCAATTCTTTGGAGAGTATGAGAAGTTGTAAGGAGTACTTAGGAGTTGAATTAGGAATTCGTTTACAAAACTATTGAACATACTAGTCAAACTATTTCTATATCCACAGCTTTCTCAACTACACAAGTGCGTAAACGAACAAGAAACCAGAGACTCCACTGTTAATTATATTTGTTAAAAAAAGAAAAATAATAATTATTCCATATTTTAAAATTTGTAATTAAAGACATTTTATTTGGTATTTATTGAATTAAGTATCACTTCTCGTTTTCTATAAATATATCTACACTTCCAGTCTATTTAATTTATATTTCTTATAAAAATATCTCCTCCGGGCCGGATTTGAACCAGCGACCTATGGATAACTGTCACTTTCACCAACTACAGTCCACCGCTCTACCAACTGAGCTACCAGAGGTGTCTGACTTTCAAATTTGATTAACATTATATAACTAGGTAATAATTAGAGCAAGACTGTCAACTCATATAGAGCATTCTTCTTTCTTTATGGAGTTCTGAAGTCCAGAAAATTTTAATTAAAGAACCGTTTACAGAAAGTAGACAGCCAATACCTCATGATATGAAGTGAGGAAGTTAAGATAAGATATGTGGTACGAAATATTCTATCAGGAAGCCTCTAAACAATGAATGACGCAATAGTTTGCAAGAGACTATTTAACAAATCACAATCAGAAGGATAAATTGAATGAAGGGATAAAAAAAAAAATCATATGGAGTCCATCACATAACATATACAATACACTTTCTTTATTGATAAAAACTTTCTGTGAAATCATACAAATATATAAAATAAAAAAATCTTTATTATCTTTTAAACAATATTGAACTTAGTGTAAGATATCGAAGAAGGGTATTAGAAATAAATATACAAATACAAATAAATCCGTTTTCTATTTACGATGATAAAGTGTTGAACGGCTGACATTATTGCTGTTAAAACGCGTGTAATACTTTTTATTCGAGTAAAAAAAAAACTGGAAGATACAAAAGTAAAGAGATCACTAAGTGAATGTAAGGTCCTCAAGAGCCCTTCTGAGAGATCCAAGAGGGCGGATGTAAACAGAGCCATCTCGATGGCACACCCTCCTCAGGAGAGCGGAAGTGGGTTCTCTTATCCTATTAGCCGCAGACATTGTAGGATGGAGGAGGCAGTGCACAGAAACCGCCGTCAATATTTGCCCTGGGGGGGCCCACTCTAATTACTGCTATATTAGTACTCCTCTACTCTATTAGCATCTCCTCTCTCTGTTTGGTTTGGCCTCTACTCTGCTGGGAAATTATCTCGAAAGGGGCTGCTCTTTGGTCTGCCAGGGGTTTACTAACAAACCTATAACGACTCCTTTTAATTCCATTATTCACCTTTTCCTCCCTCTTTTCTGAACAATGGGGAATTCGATAAAGGAGGGGGGTGTAGTCAGTCACTATATCAGCGGCCTAGCAGGATAGACAGCGTTATTTCCAACTCTTATACCGAATATTTTCATGTAGTAAAATTTCAAGCTCCCTAAAAACTAAAATTGCAATTTTTTAATTAGAGTCTGCCGGTAGACCGTCGCGGCCTAAAAGAGGCAGACAACATTATATATTACATTTATCATTCATATCCATTGTATTTATAATTCCAAGGCTTGTATTTATTACTCCAAATTTGCAATTTTTTAAATTAAATCCCCCATTTGATAGCAGCTAAAAAGATTTATCTATCAAAGTTTCATCTAGCCTGCAATGAGGGCTATTCTCGGCAAATTTGGATCTCTTTGCATGGCCGCCATATCTGAAAGCAGCGGCTTTTGAATGACAGGCAAAGCTTATTTTAGTTAAAATGTTATAATAATAATAATACTTTATTTATTCTGGGACGAGTCCCTTTAGAATAATACAGCAAGACAGAAATGTGGGCTAAGGAGCCTCAGAGATACATAATTAAAAATACAGAGTAATTAAATAATCTTAGTGAAAAAAAAATATATATATAAGTTACGTTCTAATTTTGATCATTTAATAAAAAAAAAAATAAAAAATTGATAAAAAAAAAAAAAGAAGTAAAAATATGAAGCACGGACTAATAATATATATACATATAATATATATTTACAATTTTATTTCCATTTATTAAAGTGTTCGAAATTTCATTACCATGAAAAGAAAAAAGAAAGCTCTTTGCATTGACATTCCTCCTATGATTGTCAAGGTTGTAATCATATTAATCCAATTAGAAAGTCAGACACCTCTGGTAGCTCAGTTGGTAGAGCGGTGGACTGTAGTTGGTGAAAGTAGCAGTTATCCATAGGTCGCTGGTTCAAATCCGGCCCGGAGGAGTTATTTTTTAAAAAATATCAATACATCAGCCATGTTTATTAAAGGCAAAACGCGACGATACTGATAATATAGTTTAAAAAGTTGTATTGATTTATAATTTTTAAAATTGTTTCCTGATAATTATTCTTATTTTAACACTTTTTTTTTAACTCTTACATATAACTTTATTTATATGTATATAAATAATCTATATTTATATATGACAGTGTATACTTTTCAGACTGTAGTCTTTTGTTATCTGATTTTACATATTTTTGTTAGTTGAAAAATAGAAAATATAGAAATATTTGTGCTGCATAAGGTGCAATAGTTTTTTATCCAAATTACAACTCCTTGATAATCCTTACAACTTTTAGTGATTCATTACAAAATTACCTGAACCTACCTTCTCCACCTCTGTCCACCTAGGGTTATTGCTTTCCATTTTACTGTATGCAGTT